TATTTCGCGCGGGATTCGATTTCTCGCGAGAGAACCCGCGCGAGGAGATCGAGAGATTCGCGCGTGTCCTCCGAATGAAAGAGACGCGCGTATTGCTCCTTAAAGCCGTAAACTATAAGTTTTACCAAAAAAGGACACAGTCGTCTAGAAAATTGAGAAAGGTCTCGTGCGACGAATACTGACGTTTTCTCGAAGTACGCGCACGTGCGCGACCTGTTGACTCTCGGCGAGGAGAATCCGAAGAGGATGTTTATTGTGCGAGTTCCTTCGATGTGGCGACCGACTACCTTCGATAGCGGCTACGACGGCAGCGGGGCGAGGAGTTGCGCGATGCAGACACGCTAAATATCCGAGAGGGACGTGAGCTACTTCGCGAACGAAGTCGCGCCTGTTCCCAAGTCGAAATTTTGCTTCTGTATTAAGTCCCCAAGGAAAGAAATAGTCTCAAATCAAAAATAGATACTTTTATATATGAGCGAGGATATTGTGATATTCTTAGGAGATTTTTAGTCTTGGATTGAGTTCAAATACAATACTTGCGTCAATACGAATTCAAGTAAATCGAGACTAAAAATTCCCTAGGAAGATTATAATATTGGTTTAAGACTCACTTTTTTGTGTTTATCTCTATATTAAATCTTCAAGTGGCGAAAAGGGAAACAACTTCCCATTAGCGTCAAAGACTTTTGAAGAAGATCTTTGAAGACTTAACGTAGAATTAAAATTTCGACTCGGGTTGTCTCGAGTGTCGTTCGTTCTTCTGCCTTTTTTTTGTCATTTTTTTCTTCGACCGCGCGACACGTTACCGAAACGTCCGATTCAAGTGGGGATCGAATGCTTTCGCGAAGACGAGGGTGGGACTTCACCTAGACGAAGACGACGGGCGCGTCGTAAAACGATAAGGAATCAAAATTCAAGAGCGACGCGTCGAACGCTCACTCTCGCTGTGTAATTTCCAAATTGATATTCCACGGTCGCTCAGGCGCGTCTCAAAAGTACCGTGGGAAACGTCGCCCACTCGAAAACAATGTCCGCTGATTTACAGTGTGGACACGCGGGGGGGGGGGG